ACACACACACACACACACACACACACACACCCTGTTCTTACATTTTGCTGATGTGCCTTCCCTCTACATGGGACAGGGTTTTCCCAGTGGTGGAAAGGTCCCCATCAGATGCATCTGAGTAGCATTATGCTTGGTTGGGGCTGGTGGTGCAGATAAGCAGGAATGCTGGCAGGCCAGGTGCAGGCCACCACAGTACCACTCTGCTTTCCCAGGTGTGTGGGCAAGGAGGGGAGGAGTGGACCTAGGGTGTACTGGAGAGTGTATGGGGGCATCCCCAGCAAGGACTACTTTTGGGCCACATGATGTGAACTTTTTAATGATGCATTTGACCTTTTACCTGTTAGTTTGGAGCAGTGGAAGGTGAATACATGCCCACGCCAGTGTCAGGTGCAGAGTGAAGCTCGGTAAATACATGCTGCTGCCTCATTGTTCAAAGGACAGAAGTAGGCATTCAAGGGAGCTTGGGCTGGACCCCGGATCCATCCCTGGCCAGGCCCGGCCACAGAGGCTACTCCCCTGGCCTGATGCTCTGGGTTAGGTCCTGGCAGTTTTCCTCCTGTCACACTGGACCTGTTCTGACTAGACTGGAAGGCGAGATTATACCTGTTCCGGAGGGTGAGGAGTATTTTAAAGGTGAACCCTTCTGCAGTCTTTCAGAGTTCAAACTCCCTGACCCAGCAGTGTGACTTTCCTTACAGCAAGGGCAAGTAAGAACTGACATTTGACCCACACTGCTCATCTCTGGCTCTGGTCCCTCAGAAGGTCCTCAAGGAAGAGCAGGCAGGGGTCAGGTGCCAAAGGGGGAAAACACCTGCCTGACATGGATTATCCATGGCCCTCTGGCTTTCAGGCAGGAAGAAGAGGAAACTGAACTCCTAGGCCCTGGCTGCTGGGTGGCTAAGAAGGCCAGGAAATATAGTTCACCCCCTGTAAATCCTTTCTTTGGGGATACAGATTCTTCCACAGCAAGGTTCCTTCTGTCAACCTTGTAGGAAGCAGGCAACTCACTCCCTCTCCCTGCCCTTGCTGATACTTAAGTTCTAATAAGTGTGGCACCCAGACTCAAGGAAGGTTAGTAAGAAGTCCTAGGACTGGGATTTGGGGAGTCCTGACACTGCTCCAGAAGATTCTCTTAGCAACTGACATTCACACAGTACTTGCAATGTCACCAAGTGCCCTCGTCATCCCCAGCACTCTTCAATAACCTTTCTGGGTAGGGTCTTTTATCATCCATTTTTCAGATGAAGAAATGGAGCCACAGTGAGAGTAACAACTAGCCTATAGGCACACAGCTTATCAATGACAAACATAGGGCATCAATGCCAGTGTAACCTGGCTTCAGAGTACATGCTAAAGCCTCAGGTGGCGTGCACCTTAGCTTTGCCTCCATCCAGCCTGCCTATGGAGAGGCCTGGCTTCTGCCAGCTCCCTCCACTCACTCTGGCCATGTCAGTGCTGCTGGTTCTGAGGTCTCAGAATACTGCTTGTCCCTTACTCCATAACTTTTCCCCCTAATGCCCAACCCAAGGAGCCTGAGGAGAAAATCTTGGATCCTGGTCCTCAACAGTGGTGGCTGCCTTCTATCCTGGTTTGGGCCACCTAGCCTACCCACTCCAGGTTACACGAGCAGAGGCTCCTTGCAGTGGGAACAGACGGCTTCAGGGTGACCTAGCAGCCCCCTCACACCATCTAGTAACACTCTAAGGCTGTTCCAGGCCTCAGGGAAAGCAGTCTCTTCCCTGCCTAAACATTGACATTTGGAATTATCACTAAAGAATAATGCATTTGAGCCATTAAAAGGCAGTATCATAGGGAGAAAAAGATCATACTAACAGGAACCTCTTTCTAGATATGCAATGAGGCACTACCTCGATACCTTCCCTTCAGAAGCTTTCTTTCACTGGGGCACTCAAGCCACTGCATCAGAAGCGATCAGCCTCAAAACATGTCTTGGTCACTGCTGGGTGCCCACTCCTCAAAGGCTAAATTAGAGTGACAGGAAGTCAGGAGGACCCCTCCTCCTGCTTGGTCACTGTCACCCCTCAACTGATGTTGCCTTCCAGGGACATAGCCCTTGAGGCCAACATGATGGAGCCTCATGGGAAGACGTCATTAGAGTTCCAGAAGTTTTATCATTAAGGTCACACCCATTAGAGGGTCACCTGGGGGATTGTTTTTGAACCACCTTCTGCTCTTGTTATCAGCAATTTCCAGGAGGCCACAACCTTTTCCTGGAACACTCTGGCCTTTGAAACACTTCTTTTTGCTACTGATTGTATTCTGTTGTTTTCTCTGAGAAGGCGTGGCAAACTACTGCCTGCTGCCCACTTCTAAAAGGTTTGTTGCCTGCCTGTTGGTTTCTGTACTGTCTATAGCTGCTTCCTGGATACTATGGCAGAGCTGAGCAGTTGTGAGATACTCTGTAGCCCACAAAGCCTAGAACATCCACTGTATATGAAAAAGTCCACCAACCTTGCCCTAGACACTCTCTTCCTTCACTCAAAACCTCAATGATTCCAGCACCTGCCTCGCAAGCACAAGGTCCCGAGTTCCATCCCTGGTACCAACAAAAAAAACCCCCTCAATGGGCACCTCCTCCTATTGGCTAGTGTCTGGCTAAGGTGTCAGTGGGGCTGAAGTTGTTCCAAGCCTGTGGCCTGTGCAGTTGTTCCAGGTAGCAAATGTTACACAATCACACAGACTCTGAGCTGTGCTGGGAAGACTGGATGTGGCTGGCCTCAAGTGGTCCTGAGGAGGTGAGGAATGAGCTTATCAGGCAAGAGAGGGAGGTTGAGCATTAGGGACCAGAGAAACAGTGTACACAAAAGCAGGAGTAAAAGTAATGAGCAGGAGCAATGGACCAAAGGCACCTATGTGCGAGAGCAAGGAAAAAGGGCCTTGTTGGGGAGGGAGGAGAGGAGACGGTCCTGCAGGCCATGCAGGCAGCTTCTTCAACCTCCGTGTGACAGAACAGGAAGGGGACAGACCCCTTTGGCTGCTACATGGGAATAGTCTGTACAGCTGTGGGAAGGCTGAGTGAAGACAAGAATGAGGGGGGATAGTGGTGGCTTTGACCTGGGGAGGGGCCACTCAGAAGGAAAGTGGTCAGAACTAGATCTCCACAAAGAATGGAGCAACAGGGGCTGGGGATTTAGCTCAGTGGTGCCACTGCCTGCCTCGAAAGTGCAAGGTCCCGAGTTCAATCCCCAGTACCATTAAAAAAAAAAAAAAAAAAAGAATGGACCAACAGCACCTGGTGGTGAGTCAGATGGGGCATTCTCTGGGGCCAAGACATAGGTCAAGAACTGGCACAAAAGGGACAGGTGGAGGGTGGGGCCCCTTTAAGAAGGCCAGGCAGAGCTGGGGTGGTCTGGGAAGCAGCACAATTGGCAGCAGTTGCTTCATACCTTTGAGACCATCCTCATTATTGGGACAGCTGGGGGTGAGGGGGAAGGAGGGAGAGCAATAAATCTACAAGCCCCTGGATCCTAGAGAGAATCCAGGGCAGGTGAGCTGAGGGCCCTTTGAGGACTCAGGACAGTGCAGGTGATTCTGTGAGCCCTGTGGAAGCAGCCTGGTTCCTCGGTGGGCAACGGGGCAGGGACTGCCCAACTCAGGTGAACAACAGAAGGCAGGTGCTGAGGTATGGGTGAAAATCACGAGCTCGTGTTATTAAGAAATCAACCAATAACAAATACTGAAAGGGCTGTGGGGAAAAAGGAACCCTTCTCCACTGTCAATGGGAGGGTAGACTGGTGCGACCACTGTGGAAATCAGTGTGGAGATTTCTTAAAAAACTAAAAGTAGAGGTTCCATTTGACCCAGCTATTCCCTGTCGTGGTATCTTCCTGAAAGAATTAAAAGCATCACACCACAGTGATATATGTACACCCATGTTTATAGCAGCACGATTTGTAATTACTAAATCTTGGAAGCAGCCTAAATGTCCATCAACAAATGAATGGATGAAGAAGATTTTTATACAATGGAGTACTACTCTGCCATAAAGAAGGATGAGCGTGAGACATTTCTAGCTAAATGGATCCACTTTGAGACCATACTCTTGAATGAGATAAATCAAACACACATGTTTAAATGTTTCTCTGGTGTGAGAAACCAAAAGTGGAGATAAGGACTAAAATGTATAATAGATACTGGGAAATGGGAAAAAATGTTCAAATGGGAAGGGGAACAAGGGGGGGGGGAAGGAAGGGATAAGAAAAAAAGTGCAAATAGAAGGAAAAAAATGGAAACAAAGCTTTTGTATATAGGGAAGGGAGGGGAGTCAAGGGGATGGGGGAAAGGGGGAAAAAATCATGAGCACAGCGAGAGACTGGACAATGGTCTAGGAGCTGGTTTCCAGCATGGCGCATCATTGCTTGAGGTCTCCAAGGAAGAGCCTCCCAGGGCAGGGAAACAATGGCATTCTGTCTGAATCCCAATTTTCCTGCACAGGGGAGAAAGATGTGGTGATTTGTCTCCCTTGGGGGCAACACTCACAGAGTGAGTGCATCTTCTCTCACTCACAGCTCAGAACGTGTAAGACATTTTATGTAACACCCTAAAGGGCCTTCTGAGCATGGTACAAAAAGAACTGGTTTTAAAGTGACAGGCTTTTATTTTTAGTCCCCTGAAAACTATAGTGGTACCAGAGCAGTTGCACTGAGATGCCAGTCCTCAGAGGCATGTCTGGCACCTGGCCCCCATGCCAAGTGGAAGAGAAACACAGATGCCCTTGCTCTATACCTCGCCACCTCAGAGGCCAACCTTTTCCACCAGTGTGCAGTTATTTCATGTCTGCTAAAGGCTTGTTGGGGCCCACCAGGCTCTTGGACTGAGGATAGCTGTACCTGTTCCCGAATCATCCCTCACACACACCAATGGCCCAGACATGGAGCCAGGTTTGTATATCTCTGCTGCGCTTTGTGGTAGCCAATGGCTCCTCTATCTTATGTGACAGGGACTTGGCCATTTGGGGCACCACAGAAAGCCTCTCCCTGACTTCACAGCTGGTGAGGGGCAGGAGTAGTCACAACATCCCTATGGATGCTGCACAGGCCCCAGAAAGAGTTCTTGGGGTGTCCTGTGGAGGCAAGAGTTCCCAGCTCCCTGAGAATGACTCTTCCACTCTTGGAAGTGGGGACATAGCAAATGGGAGCAGGTACGATGGGCCTGGTTGCCCCTCCACCTTGTGGAGTAATACATCAGCCCTCCTGTCCACATTCCCTCTCCCCGCCAGTCAGGCCCCAGTGTGGGCCTTTCCTTTGTCCCTTCTTTTTCCTGCTGGGCACCTACTTCCAGTCCCCCCACTTCCCCACAGTTTGACCTTCCTTTCTTTCAGCTATGTTGGCCTCTTTTTCTTCCTGGCTGTTTTCTTCTTCAGGTAGGACTGTCCTGCATTTTTTTTCTCAGCTCTTTTCTCTCAATTCTCCTGCATTTCCTACTTTATCCCATTTTTCACTTGTTTTTGAAAGAAGGAAAGGAGAACAGGGTAGGGTGTGCCTGACCCACAGGGACTTAGCCCTAACATGGCTCACCTTCTCTGGGGCTGATGCTGGCTGGAGCTGGCAGATGTGGGAAGGAGAGTGCCACCTCTGGCAGGAAGGCCTCTGTGAGGAAATGCCACAAGATGGGCCAATGGAAGTGCTTGTAAGCATGAGGTACATCAGGTGAAAAGGCCCTGAAGCACACTCTTGTAATTGGCAGGAGATCAGTGTGGCTGTCCTGGAGTGGATAAGCAGGGAAGAGAGATATGGGGGCCATAAGAAAGATGGAGAAAGAGCCCCAGTGCCCTCAGTCAGAAAAGGAAGCGAACAAGGAAGATACCACTTCTTGGGGCTGTGTCACCAGGCTGAGGTCTGAGCAGACATGGACAGGAAGTATGGTGCTGCTACTGCCTATGGCTAGTGTTCAGAGCACTGGCTCTAGAATGAACTCCATCACCTGGTCCTACAGCAAGCAGTGGGATAGGCAGCACTGAACTGGCACTTCTGCTCACAGACCAAGGGCATATACTCAGAGACAAGTCCCTTCCAGGAGCAGCTCCTCCTCTCAGAACCACTATTGCCACCATGTTTGTTAAAGGTCTGTCTCATGGAAGCTGGAGCCCAAAGGGCTATAGGATACTCATGGGGCCCTCACAATCCTTCTGGGGACACCCAATATCTCTTACTCCCCCACATTCTCAAGGCACCCACCACAAGCAGCAAACAAGAGACTGACTCTTGGGGGCTTCCAGGCATTGATAAAGTTGTGCACCAGTCCTGTCTGGGTTGCCTTTTGGCAAAGCTGCTCCACCATCACAGAGAGTGACTAACACCTTGGGACAAAAGAAGAATGAGGGTGATCTGAGCTTCCCAGATATTTGGCTAGATTCCTTAAAAATACTTCCATGTCTGCAGCCCCTGCTCCCATCTAGCTCTTCGGCAGCCCTTCTTCTCAGAGACCCCTGCTCACCCTGGCACTTCCTCCCGTCCAAGTCCTGCTCCAAGCAGAGCCCTAGATGCTGCCCAGGCCCTCTTTGGGAGACTGATATTGACTTCTAGGGTGGCAGTCCCCTCTTGGATCTCCTCCAAAAGCTGAAAACAAGTAGCAGAGAGGTGGACAGTGTATCTGAGGCAGGCTGATGGAGGCAGACACCTAGCCATGCACCTACTAAACACTCTGCCCCGGACTGGTAGAGAAGCCAGGAGCCTGGGCATCTGTGTCTGATGGGCAACATGGGGTGCAACTCAGATGAGAGACAAGGAAGTGTGCTGGGCAGAAGCAGCATCTAAGGAAAGCCTGGGAGAGGGGCATGGGAATGGTGAGCACAGCAGGGCCAAGCTGTCCCAAGGTCCCCTGGCTGCTGTGTCATATACCAACCAGGGGACCATCTGCATGGACAGTCACATCGGGGATCTGCTAAGAGGCAGCTCTTTGTCAGTCAGGCAGGCCACCCTATTCCACTGAGCTCCTGCCCTAGACATCTGCCTTGAGCTCAATGTGGTTGTCTGGTTGCTTCTTAAAAATCTCCTGTGATAGAAAGTTACCTTTAATCATTTCCAGGATTGTGGCTGATTTGGGTTCCCCCAGGAGGGCTCCCCGCCCCGGCCCCCTGCCAACATAGGAGTCCGATTATTGGGAGGTAGAAGGTCCCAGCTGCCCTGGGTCAAAGAGAGCAAAATCACCCTGCCTCACCAGGGCTCAGGGAAATGTTCTGGGGCTGGATAACTGCTGCACACAACATCTAACTTTCCTTTGGTTTCATTGCAAAGATGGAAAATGTGGAATTAATCTCCCCTGTAGTATGATTTTGACTTCGCTTAGATTCTAAAGATCTAAAACAGATGTGATAAAAGGGAGTCTCTTTACTGTGGGGTCTTGTGAGCTATCAAAACAAAGTGGGGCTGCTAGGTCCACTGCCTGTCCTAGGTGGAGCTCTGTCTCTGGGTGTACATCTGTGTGTGTGGATGTGTGTACATGCGCACAGATGCCCTGTCCTGATGATGTGCTACATGTCAAGGGTGACTGGGAGTGTAGGGACCAGCTCAGCTTCCTGCCCTTCCCAACACCCAGGCTCTGCCTCCAAGCCCAGTCCAGTGCCTAATGTCTGTGGCACAGGGCCATTGAGACAGAGGATACAAATGCTGGTCTTCAAGGAGCCTGCCTATATCAGTTATTCTAGTGCCAGCACCATGAAGACAGGTTCTTGTCTGTTCTTGCTCATCACTGCTTTCCTGCTCCCAGTCAGCACCTGGCATATAGAAGGTTCACACTGATGCTAGGTGGACAAATACCTGGCCGTGAGCCCTGTGGGAATGCAGAAAACACGGCACCTGGGTTCCCACAGCCAAAGGGCAGCCCTAGTCTGGGGATAAGCCTGCCTGTTTGGTGAGGAACACTCCCTCCAGCTTGATCTGGGCTTGGCAGGCCAGATGGTGGGGGAAGGAGGGTAGGTAGATAAGAGGGGCCACCCTGCTAGCTGGCCTGAGGAGGGAGGATGTCTCCTGACTTTAGCAGGAAGTAGAAGTGGATAAAGTAGGGATGAGAATCAAAGAAGCAGTCCAGTTCCTCCCCTTCCTACCTCAGGGCTGACTTGATGATGGTTGAAAGCTTCAAGGCCTAAACTTCAGAGGGAAGGAATGGAGATTTCCTTTCATGCTGATGTTGGGCATGCTAAAGTGCCTAGGCCCAGAATATCTAAAGAAAGTCCTCTCAATCTTTCTGGACTTAGCAACTGTCATTTATTTATTTATTTGGCTTATTATATTATTATTATTATTATAATATTATTATAATTTTGGTACCGGGGATCAAACTCGAGTCCTTGTGCTTGCACAGCAGGTGGCGAAACCACTGAGCTAAATCTCTGGTCCTATTATTGTTTTTTGAGTCAGGGTCTTGCCACATAGCTGAGGCTGGCCTTGAACTCACTATGTAGCCCAGCCTGGCCTTGAATTCAGGGTGATTTTCCTGCCTCAGCCTCCCAAGTCCTAGGATTACAGGTGTATGCCACCATACCTGGCTCCAGCAACTATCTTTTAAACATTCCCCTTCATCCACCACAGTTTCCTGCAAGTAGCACAAAGAAAACTTTTGGTTCCTTGAGCCCAAGACTCCTTGTTGCTGTTTCACATGTCTCGGGGATACAGGATTTCCCTGACATGCTCTCTACCACCGCCCCCCCTTCTCTTCGGAAGTATATTAAACACTATTTTCCATCAGTGGATTAGCCATCAGTTTAAGGAATCTTGGCTAATATGCCCTCTTCATGGCTTTATAGCTTTGTCTTTCCATATCACTGCTTCCTCTAAAAGAAACTATAAAAAATGGGCCCATTTACCACCATTTGTAAAAAATGGATGCTGCTAGGACCCATCAAGCACTGCTCAGACTCGTGCCACAACCCTTTGGATCTCTTCACCAGCCATGTGTAGACCCACCTGGAAGCCAGGTGTCTCACAGAGATAGGACATCAGTCGCCCTCAGCTCTGCTGTACTGATCCCAGGGTGAGTACAGCAGAGCTAAACACAGGCACAAACTACCCTTGGCCACTTTCTGCATCCTATTTTTCCAGAGGCTGACTTTCCCAACAACCCATACAAAGGAGCTCTTTACCAACACCTGACAGAACACCACCATCCCGAGCTTGAGTAACTGGTTAGTAGCTTGTTGGAGGCTGGAAAACCTCAGCACCTGGCAAGTTTGGCAGCAGCAAGTTGGGCAGCAGCTGACAAGTTGGCCAGCAGCGCCTGGTACTATAGGGAAGAAGGGCGCCGGCCATCAGGGCAGGCTCTCACAGGCCTCCCCTTGCCCTGTCACCTTGGTCCACTTTCTAGAGCCACCAGCTGGTCCAATAGCAGAATGGGGCAGGTATAGAACTGCTCCCTAAATGCCAGCCGTGCTAAGGTTGAGGATTCTTTCTGGTTCCTCTTTTCCCCCCAGATGAGGCTCCTGTGGCTATGATGAGGGTCTGCACCCACAGTGCAGATGTGGATCAGAGTGAGTGGAGGGAGGAGGTATGATAGGCCCACTGCAGGCTTCCCTGGCCCTGCAAGAGTGACAGTTGGTTAGGGAGAGTAAACTGCATAGTCATGCAAGCCCTTTCGGGGCTGTCAGTCCCGACAGACACAGGCCCTAGCTTGTGGTCTATGCTTGACCCTTCCCTGGAGGGCCTTCAGGTGCTAAGGAGTGTGAGCAAATCACTTGGAGCCTCTGTTCCTCTCAGAGCACCCTCAAGTCAGCCTGATTGAGACGTCTCTGCATGGGCCTCACTCCCCCCACACTCCAGGCCTGCTTAGAACCTCAGAAGAAAACTTGTATGACTGACCGTGAACATTCCTAGGCTCCAGAGGTAAGCACAGCCATTGCCCAGCCCATCTGGCAGGCAGGGCCTTCAATCTGCAGCTTCTTTAGAGGGTGCTTTTCACCACAACCACAGAAGGGATCGATGGAAAGCAAGAGTTTTCTGCCAGAAATCCATGGGAGCTGCCACCCAGAGCCCTGAGCAATAACACTAGTCAGTTTTGAGGGAGTTAGCAGGCTGTGTACTGTACAGGAGTTGCAAGCTGCCCTGGGTTGGTACTTGAGGAAGACACAGCCTCCCTCCATTGCAAAGCCAAAGGAGCCTATGGATAAAATACCAGAATGAGCAGCAGGGCTGGGGAGGAACCAGGGGTCTGGACAGACATTCTTCCCCATTCTCTGGACCTAGCCAGAATCAGACATCAAACGTGTCCCTGCCACAGACCAGACAGTGTCTTGAGTCCCTCATCTCCCAGGAAATAGCCTCCTACAGAGGACAAGTATTCTGTCTCTAAATCCCAAGTGGTGGCGATCCAGGCTGTCCTGAACTTGACTTTGGCAGAAAGGGTAGCCCATGGATGTCTGCAAAGTTAAGATAGCTAAATTGCTTCTGGACTAAGTATTCCAGGTCGCCAGAGGTGCTGACATGGAGAAAGGCTTGCTTTGGTAGAAACAGCCATATTCCTGACTCTGCCTGTGAGTGAGGCAAGGCCAGGAGACTGCTCATGCCCTATAAGCAAGGACCACCAGAAGGTATGCAGGGGACCCTTACTCCACACCTTCCCAACCAGTTGGGTCTGGGCACACCTGGGAGGACCAACCTTGAGGGAAAAATGATACAACTACTTTAAAATCCAGGGTCCAGGGCTGGGGATTTAGCTCAGTGGTTTCACTGCCTGCTGCGGAAGCGCAAGGACCTGAGTTTGATCCCCAGTAC